ACAACTTATAAGCTCTGTTTATGTTAAGAAATGATCAAGGTCTGACCTAATCAAGGTTGGCCATATGGAGAGCTGGTTCACCCTAACGGGAAATGACCTAAATCAATTTTTAGCATAAATATTTGACGTCGTCTGTGGGGATCAGCTATCTGATGGAGCTCTTCTTCTATAAAGGGATGAGCTGTCTGATGGAAGCTTTCCTCTAGGCGGGGATGAACTGAAATAGAAGCTCTTTTTCTATAGAGGGATGAGCTGTTTGATGGAAGCCCTTTCTCTAGGCGGGAATGAGCTAAGATGGAGGCTCTTTCTCTATAGAAGGATGAGCTGTTTGATGGAAGCTCTTCCTCTAGGCGGGGATGAGCTGAGATGGAGGATGAGCTATCTAATGGAAGCTTTTCCTCTATAGAATGATGAACTGTCTGATCGAAGCTCTTTCTATAATTGGGGCTGAGCTGATATGGAAGTTTTTCCTCTATATGGGGATGAGTTCAAATGGAAGCTCTTTCTCTCGGCGAGGATAAGTTGAGATGGAAGCTTTTCCTCTATATGGGGAGATGAGCTATCTGATGGAAGTTTTTCCTCTATAGAGAGATGAGTTGTCTAATCGAAGCTCTTCCTCTAACTTGGGCCGAGCTGAGATGGAATCTCTTTCTGCTCAACACCCTTGGTAGCTAGGATAGTCTTGCCTTTTGATTGAGCGTGTATCTAATATCTTTCGAGGTTGGCCTCATAGTTGAGACGTTGTTTGCCTAGCTCGGCCATTAAGAACATCTTGGAGATCTCCATTGAGACACGACTCTTTGATGGCTAGCCATCATTGTGCGGGTACGACACGTTTAGTCATTCTCCTAGGAGAAGGTCATCCTCGGAGGGAAGATCTTCTTGGAGAGGAAGGTCTTGAACAGGAAGATATTGTGGCAGCGGAAGATCTTGAAGAGCTTTGAAGGTCTACCCGATTGTTGGGAGTACTAAACCTTTGAGAACTGTGCGAGTCATAGCTTTGTTCGGTAGGGAACAAACACTCCGACGCTCAAGTCAATTTTGAGTCCGACCTTAGTATGGAGATCGAGCTAGAAAATCATACGTGACTGAAGAGTGAAGTGCCCCATTTATAGGTTGGAGATCCGATAGGCCTTCCGATAGGTAGTTATCCATGTCCGACGTCATGTTGGATATGATCCAAATATTGGGTCGAACCTGGTAACGGGTCGGACACTAGAGTGGTGGATGCAGTCAACATCTGGTTAAGTTCTCCACCTTGGCCAGATTCTAGGTGGACATCGAAATCCAGGTATGTCCAGGTGTACGCATCTTCGTCCTCCACGTGGCGTAGCTATTTTCATCCCCAAACAAGCTCTATAATTCAAGTGTATAAATGAGTTTGCATAAATTTGAGTGTCCTTTATTTATATTTAAGTCAAGAAAAAATATAAAAAAATAAATACTTGGAAAATAAATACATAAAATAATGCAATCATCCTTTTAATGAAATTGATATGTATATATTTACTAAATTACGTTCTTTTCTCTCTATAAAAGTTAAAAAAAAAATCCTATAAAAAATAAAGTCCTCACCTATAGGTTGTTTTTGCCGGTTGAGTACAACAATATATAGAGGAATAAAGATTGGAACACACGACTTTTTGATCGACGATACACGTCTTAATTATTTGGGCTAAGTTCAGATGGACATGGCTAACTAAAAAGAAAATGAAATCTGGAATTGAATTAGGACATGGTCCAACCACCATGCATTCTAGAAGAAGAAAAAAAAAAACATGTAGTCTGTATTCCAGACTACATGGTTTTTTTTTCTTCTTCTTCTTTTTTTTTAAATTGTAGAATGCATGGTGGTTGGACCATAAATGTGTAAACTTCTGCATCACGCTACTTCACAAATATCTCTTGCTATTTCAACCTTTTTTTAATTAATTATTTAAATATTTAATGAACCTTTGAAAAAATTATTAAAAAAATAGTGTACCTTAACAAATATTGACAAGAATAAAGTATTTTTGTTCGGTTCCCATGGAAGAGACAACTTTATGTAAATCGTCCATCTTAAAAAAGATTTAAATTTACTTATACATCATTTGATGATGTTTCTAATTTTTGTAATTATATGTATTTGATAATCACTCAATAATTTTTTTTTTT